ATAGAGAGATGGGTAAGTGAATGTTTGTTTGGTATTTAATGTAACATAGTTATTGGCCAGAATATACAGGGCTGCAGGAGGAAAATGACCGGTTTTGATGCAATGGACCATAGTTCTAGTTTTCTTTTTGCTCTCAAAGTTGTTTTTCTTTTGTAGATGAAATATTTTATTGCTTCAGTTTGCTTGCTGGAAATGTAGCTTGTGGTCAGATGGTGAGAGGCATCATGAGGCTCTTTTTGTGAAATAAAAGAGCACAACCTTCCTCAAGTCTCTAGGGGCTGTGCCCTTTGTGATCCACTTAGGTTAGTCCCCATTGGACTTCTGGTTAGATACAAGGACTATCATGACCACTATGTTATTTAAAATAATAGATATACTGCAGAATTATTATTATTAAACCAAAGTTGCCTTTTTTGTTTAGATGAAGCCATATAAAAGCAACATTCTGAGTAAATTATATAGCGTCCACTTGATGAAATAATGAGCCTAAGTTTAGGGGATGAAAGTAATGATCTAATGCAATATTTAGAATGAGTGTTTAGTATGTAGTTATTAACCTAAAAGTCACATCCTGCATTCTTTTAATTTGTGAAAAATTTGTCACTAATTGCCCAAGAAACCTCTGATTTTTCATACAAAATCACCTCATAGCTGTTGACTTTCTCCCCCTTCCCCTGCCTTAAAATACAGCCCTATAAACAGCAGATTACTCTCAGATCTGTATGCCCTCTTTAAATATTGAACTGCTAAGTTTAGCCCCATTGCTCTCTTTTCAAAAATAGAATTCTTCCCCCATCCAACTTTGTCTTTGAGAAACTACCAACAAATCATGGTTTTATTTTAATGACAACTGGTATAAAATCTTATTTAACCTTTCTGTCCATTGAGAATCTGCTAATTCTGAAACACATTGGGGATTAATTACTGATATATAATGAAAATGGATAGTATCTTCCATTTAGAAGCAATTTGAAAGATAAGTTATGGTATTTAATTCAAATTCAGTCTAATTGAGGCAGAGTCAGGCAAACAGAAGTGCTATATTGAAAGGGCACGTCAATCTCTGTGATTTCCAGTCTAGCCTGGTCTTCATACTGAATTTCAAGACATCAAGGGCTATGTAGAGAGACCCTAACTCACAACACACACACACACACACACACACACACACACACACACACACACAAATTGAAAGATAAAAATAAGGTAGATAAGAAGTAAGGTAGCCAGGTTGATATTCAACCTTGAGTCTAGCCCTTACTTACCTCATTTCAGGGTTTGCAGTTTTGCTTGTGATCATCTCCCAATCTACTGCTTCATGCATCTTTGCTGACTTTAAAGAATAGATGTAATACAACTATAGTGATTAATTTCTTGCAATATTTATCTTTATGAATTTGAATTCTTGTCTTATAGTATCATCAGTGTCTTAGAAAGTGACTTTGACTGGGATTTCTTTGAATGAAAAAATACATAGGATCACAAAAGATATATGTGAAAGAAGTATCTGTCTTACAGAATTCAGACTTCAGAAAATGTCTCCAAAATTCAGGAAGAGGCATCATGAGAAAATGGCTACAATTGCATCCCTTTTGTCTTATTATGTGACAGCTTAAAGGAATAGTAGGGTTAGAAGTACTGATGTTAATTGAAAACTTTGAGATCATTTGCTATTTTGTAAATTGTGTTCATACGCTCTGTGGTTAGTCACACAATATGCTTCATTTCAAGCACTTGGGATATTATCTACCTATATATTAGGATTTCAAATATTTTTATTTGATTTTGAAGTACTTTAAAACCTGAAAGTTTGGCTAAAATGAGCATAGCTTTATAGAGAAAGTGTTTGGGGGTCAAAGAGGTTAAATTAGATGCCAACAGTCATGTACCTACTTGGAAGTTGGCAAAACTTAGAAACCATGAATCTGGAATTCCCTTCCAGGGCATTTTCACTACAAAATGTTCTTTTGATTTTGCATTTTGAAAGACACAGAAGTGGTCTGTGAAATGATCATTAGCACTAGGCAGCCCAAGCAGCCCTGGAGTGTTTCATGGTTCAAATGCCCAAGACCAGATGGAAGTCCAGAAGTGGATGACTCAGAATTTATTAGTTTTGCCACCTGGGTAGTACAGCCAAACCAGCTGCCACAAGGCAGTTCCAATTTCAGCAGAGCAGTAAATGAACAAAATAAAAAAATGAGAGTCAGTCCATAATAAAGGAAAATGGCTGATACAGCAGCAAGATTCACTCAGCATGATTCCTATTGACATCTCTTGTATGAAGTACAGTTCTTATTCCAGGCACAGGGCAAGAAACAGTTAAGGCACCTTGCCATGAAATATCAATACCTGAGTTGTTCCAGAAGCTACTGTCAGTTTGGGGTGTGTTTGAATTACAGGCTTGGTAGGTTCCCAGTTACAACTGATGATCTGGAAAAGGAAAATTAAGCCAGTGCTATAGCAAAGCTGTGTCATGAAGCCAGATGGTTTTTTCCTGTAATTATAAAATATCATTTATCACCCTTTCATAGTTCTGATCTTTGGAGGCCTGCATATTCAGGGATCCTAAGATCCCTGTGGATAGTCACAGAAATCCTTCCATTATCCTCATGATTTCCTTATGTGGACCTGAAAGTTGACAGGTGTGCCTATGTTCCCAGTATACAGCAGGATGTGGAAAGAGAATTGCTGCAAGTTTGAAGCTAGCCTGGCCTATAAAGTTTGTTCCTGGGTAGCCTGATTATAGACTGAGGCTCTGTCTCAACTCTCAAACCACCAACAAGCCAACTGAAACCAAAATATGAGGTTTTTCAGGATCTGTTCACAGATCACTAAGATTCAGAGAATGAAGTTAAGGTTTCAGATGACTTCTCAATAGAGCTATGGTGCTCAAAACCAAAATGAGCCCAATAATGAAGGCATGGGGAATCAGACCAAATTGAGAGAGGTATAGTAATTTTTGCTTAAATTATTTATTTTTATTTTATTTTTAACTTTCTTTTTATTTATTCTTTGTGTCTTTCACATCATGCATCTCAATCCCATTCATTTCCTGTCCCTGCATATCTGCCCTCTGTCCTTGCAGCCCCCTCTCCCAGATAAAAATTAAGAGAAAAAAGAAAAAGAGGAAAAGAAAAAAAGGGGGTGGGATGTCATCATGGAAGCTGTAGTGTGACATAATGGGTCACTCAGTAAACCCTTTTGTCCACATATCTTTACTTGTAAGTGTTCATTGCAAAGAGTCATTGGTCTGTTTTGAGGCCTCTGGTTTCTGCTACACTATTGATTCTGGGCCCTCACTGGGACTCCTCTTGGTTATCCTGCTGTTGCCCTATGTTGTAGAAATCCTCCAGCTTTGGGTCTTCAGGACCCAGTCCCTTCAGGTGCTCCAACAGATCACAGATAGTATGGATATTGGTATGGGACAACTCATAATCCTGATTCTGGGCCTAGGTAGTTGCAGGATTGGTCAGCCTACCAGCTTGTCCTTACCATCAGGGTAAGCTCTCCTGCATTGCCTTAGTGAGTTCACCCTTTGCAGCAATGAGCAAAGGGTGGGGCCAGTTCTCCCGTTTCATGTCCTCAGAATCAGATCTCCCACATCTACACCTTCAGGGCCAGCTATACTGTGTTGCCCAGGCATGGTGTAGGGCCACTCTCCCGGATGCTGCAGCAGATGAGGGGCAGGGCTAGCTTCCCTTCCCCCTTGACCTCAGGGTCAGCTTTCCCACCTGCCTCAGGCATTGATGGGCAGGGGTGGGGTGGGTGGGCATCTCTCTCCTGCCCTTTTCGCCACATGACAGGTGAATAATAGGTGTAGCTAGAGTTTTCCTGCCTGGCCCACAGTCAGGACAAATCTTTGTCATCTGCCAGTCCCACAGCTGCTCAGACCCAACCAAGTAAGCACAGAGACTTACATTGCTTACAAACTGTATGGCCATGGCAGGCTTCTTGTTAACTGTTCTTATAGCTTAAATTAATCCATTTCCATAAATATATACCTTGCCACATGGCTTGTGGCTTACTGGCATCTTCACATGCTGCTTGTCCTGGTGGCGGCTGGCAGTTACTCCTTCTGCCTTCCTTTTCTTTCTTTTCTCCTCTCTGTTAGTCCCTCTTATACTTCCTGCCTAGCCATGGGCCAATCAGTGTTTTATTTATTGACCAATCAGAGCAACACATTTGCCATACAGAACATCCCACAGCAAACAGGGACAGCTCTTCCATGCTCACAACATTGGGGCTGGCTTGCCCACACCTCTCCCAATGGAGTTGGATCTATTGTGCTGCCCCTGCAAGGTACAGGGCCTGCTCTTCCAAGTATTGCCAATAGTGGTAGGCAGGGGTAGCTCTCCTGCCCTTCTGACCTCAGGGCCAGCTCTCCCACCTGTCTCAGGCATTGATGGATGTGAAGGGGAAGGGAAGAAAGGTTTATTAATGAATTTTAAAAAAATCTCATTTTCCTATGCCAAAAATGCTTGGGCGTCCCCCCCCCAAATGCAACTAAACTGACTGAATAGAAGCTTGGCATTATTTCTCTTTATATGTTTTAAAGCTCAGAAGATTGTAGCTCATTGCTTTGGTTCCCTGGCCTTAGTGATGGTGCAGGCTTTTTGGTGTTATGACGAAAAGAACATGGGCATAGCCAGAGAAGGGAGTTCTTATGCCAGTTGCTGACATATCTTGTTGTGGCTTTTTTGTTTGTTTGTTTGTTTGTTTTTTTGCCCATGGCTAGATCAAGGTGCTGTTGGCTTGGCTGACATCTGCCTACAGATGGCCTTTTCAGGAGATGAATTTTTCTGTGTTTATATTTCTAAACTGATCATTATTTAGTCATGTAATAATGTTCTCTATTTGTATGAAGAGAATACAGACATGTATATGTTCTTACTGAATTTGTGTCTTTCCCCCTCTGATGACAAGAAGTGAAATGGTTTTATACTATAACATTTTGTTAATGATTACAGGTAAATTAACTTTTTCTATTTTTATTCTGGCAGGTGGCATGTTTGACCCAAGTAGCTGCTAATTATCTTATTGGTCAAAAGGAAGCAAAACGCTGGGGCACAGCTCATGGCAGCATTGTTCCTTATCAGGTACAATTTAGCCTTCATTGCTATAATCTGCAGATCTGTACAATACGACTCTGGGAATTAATTTTTTTTTATGAACCCTTCAGCATTCTTCTTTAATGTGTCTCTGACTTATTATAGCAAGGTTCAGTTGTTTTCCTTATTTTTTTTCATATTTCTTCACAAGAAGAATTGTAACCGAACACTTAAGTGGATCAAAGGAACTTATAGAAAAGGAATTACTTTGGAGCTCATAATATGATGGTTTCTTCATTTCTTTCTTTTTATTTTTCTTTCACCCAAAAGCTTCTGTTATGCCATTGACTGTAGCTACTTTATAAAGCACTGTGAATTATCATGCTAGCTATATAACAAATGTTACCTTCCTTCCCCATCTGACAATAATATTCTCACAGGGTTAGGGTGAAGTGAAAATTTGCGTGTGATGGATCTCCATCCTTGGAGAAAAACAGATGGTTTGAGCTGCTGTTCTTTATTAAGTGTCTAAACCTCAGAAATTCTGGACTTTGGCTAGTGCAAATGAATATGTGAAGAAACTGTGATTCTTTAGAAATAAAAGCTCTACTATGTCTTCCAAGCCACTAGCCTTAGCCTAGCCTAGTTGCATATTTCTTTGCATTTCCTTTCATTTGTCAAACTTTCCATAATACATCATGAATTTAAGAGGAATGGGGTCTTTCTCATCATTTCTCTCATATTCAATGAAAATGTAGGCAGTGTACCCTGGAAGTATCTGCTTAATAAAGGAATGGATTTAGCTCTAGCTCTTTCAACATGTGTATTCTTGACAGGAAACAAAAAACTCAGAATTTTTTTGTTTGCCAGGAAATCCATCAGTACTTCCAGTCATCCTTTCAGTGTCAAGAGATTATTTCCTTGGGCAGGTCTAGTTTCATTTCTATTTCTTTTAAACCCATATTTGAGGAAAGTATATACCACTGTGAGCCCAGCATGCTTCCCTCTCTTGTTCTGTTTATGACCATTTTATACCTGAGACTTTGCTATGATTTCTTGGTATAGCTGCTTTTCTCAAGTTGAGTTACCTTCTGGGATAATTATAAGTTTGGAGGATTTCTTCAGTGCCTCCTTTTTTGTCCCCACTAAAGGATTCTTGACCACCTTAGGGACATTTGCTTCCCCAACTAAGATTTTCTTGTGGCTGGCTCTAAACATCTAACTAGACCTTCCTACCTTGATTCATAAAAGTCATTGTATTTTTGAGCTGGGTAGAAATACTTAGATTCAGCCTTCTTATTTTCCAGATTTTAAAAAAATCTCACACCTAGTTTGAATGGAGAGTTTCCAACAGTGGCCTCTTGGTTCTGTGTTTAGATACTTTCAGTTATTCCTACCAATGATTGGAGTGTGCTGTGGTTTCAGGTCTTTTCAACTCTTTTCACTATTTCTTCTCATCCAGTTTGCTCCTAGATCAGGTGTATGGTTAAGTGATTCATAATTATAATTGATGAGGAAAGTTCTCAAGGGGGTTTTTAGCAAAGCACAATGTTAGAATTTATGTGAATTCATCTCAAATAATGGAAATCCAGGCTTCATCCTTTGATGTGTATGGAGAAAGCAGCATTTCTGAGTTGGAAAGCTTTGTAGGATAATTCTAAGTCATTACAAAATATAAAAGTTTCTTTTTTTTGTTAAAAATAGAACATCCTTTTAAAAGCTTGCTATAGACCTTAGCTATCTCTCCTGGGCATCCATACCTAGAATTCTGGCATCCCAAATAAGCTCCTAATTGTTTTACTGTGAGGGACAAAGGGATTCAGAATTTTTGGCCCTTGTTTTAGAATGTTAAGTGTATAAAAGTCTCTCTCTCTCTCTCTCTCTCTCTCTCTCTCTCTCTCTCTCTCTCTCTCT